ACCAAACATCAACATATTCCACCAGGGGAGCATCCATTGCTGAGCAGCAAATACGGGTCGAGTTATGTTCGAGGTTTACAACGAGCCGACAGTCATACCGACCCTTCTTGACTCAAGGTCGCCGTATTCTATAAGCACTACATCGCCTACGATTTGGATAACTGGAAACATGAATTGAAGAAGAAGAGTCAAACATTTCATCAACTATGCTAAGTCAGCTGATTTAATGTGCTACATCAACATTTCGATGCAGCACTAACAATTTGTTAACAACTGTTAATAATGAGTGACCAATTTATAACAAACGATAATGTTAGTAACCAATTTGTAACAAATGATAACGTTAGTGACCTCTTTGTATCTTTTCAAACATAGGTGGTAAAAAGAAATAACTTAAAAATTAGTGACCATTGGTGTAGTTTACCCTTTTATCAACGACGCCGTTTGAGACTTCACATCGTTAAAGAGCATAATAAATGGAACAAACGTCAACCAGATCCTACCAGGAAACACAGTCACAAAATGGCGACCCCACCAGTTCCGCCATAACATGCGGCGGCAGGGGGAACTTTGAAGCACCACCGCCGCCTCCGATGCAGCCTCCTGGAACGGACATGACGGGCATATGTTTCAGAGACAAATTGTGGCTAAATACATACCCTCTGGATCGAAACCTGGGTTTCGATTACTTTGCCCTATCTCCGTTCTATGATTGGACCTGCAACAACGAACAGCTAAGGATGCGATCCATTCACCCCCTCGACATCTCTCAACTTTCGTAAGTAAATTTTAGTCTGAGTTATTTTGTTCCCTTTTAATCAACTCTCTCTGGCATGCTGCAAGATTTAATTTTATTGATTTTTATTTTTGGAATTGGATATGTCAATATTTATGAAACCCGATTGATATGTTAACGAATTAGTTGTTCGGTTAGATCGAAGCTTTAAATTGTAAATATTTGGTTTTCAATTTTACCTAGAAATGAGCCATTTTCCATGCATTCTGACAGAAGCCTAGTTGTTTGTATTTGTGATTGGCACTTTATCTACTTGAAAAATGCTTTGATAGCTACCAAATAGCATTTGATTGGAAAACTTGCTCGTTATCTTATCAATCATCGCTTAGAATTCTAGTTTAAAGATTTTGTTACTCGTAAGATCAGTAATTTATTTTTTCCCTTTAATACAGGAAAATGACTTGGCTAGAATACATGCTTAGTGAAGTTATGGAACCGCAACTCTTAGTTTTTCGTAAGCAAAAGAGGGACAGTGCAGAGAAAGTCACACCGATGCTGGCATATTATATTTTGGATGGTTCTATATATCAAGCACCACAGCTTTGCAATGTCTTTGCAGCCCGAGTTGTAAGCTCCTTCGTATTGTTTTCCTTTCATGTTTTGTGTTTGTATAACAAAATGATACTATCACCTGGACGCTCATTTGATTTCAGTCTGGTAACAGCATTCTTTTTGTTGAAATATTACAAAAAATGGTTTTCCATTCGGTCTTCAGATTTTTGGTCTTTTGTTCTACTCACCTGGAAGTGATTATCTAGTTAAGAAAGAAATCCACTAATGAAAACATCAGAACAAAGAGGAAAATAAGAGTTTTAACAAGTAAACAAAGTTTAAAGGAATACATTTCTGTTGTTGTCTTCATAAAATTATCATTCTCTGTATTGTCACTTCGCATTGAGTCTTTGTATGCACTTTCATCTTTTGGATTTTGATAATTTATCCATGTGACAGGGACGTGCTCTCTATTATATATCAAAAGCTTTTACAACTGCTGCATCAAAATTGGAGAAGATTGGATATGGTAAATATTTCTGTATTTATCTTATTTTTTTCATTGATAAGAAGCACTTCTTATTTCTTTAATTGGAGATAGTTTATGTTTATTTAGAGAGAGAGAAATGTGAAAAACAGAGATTATATTTTTCTTGCTGTGGCATGGTCCAAAAATAAGTTTCTCAGTTACCCTAGTTACTGACCAGCATGTAATAGTTGCATAAACTAGAATAATTTTTTGTGGTTGTTGCTGACTCATGATGCAATTCTTAAATTCTTTCACTGTCGACAGTCTGTCGTGTAAATGTTCAAGGCATGCTGAATACCATTGGCAGCAGTTGAGGCAAGGAGAGGAAAGAAACTATTAAAAAAATGTCAAGAGACTTGTGCTATAAACTATTTTAGTGTTTTTTAAAATATTTTAGCCAATGTATTTAACTTGGTTTATTCTTTACTTCTCGAACCTACCTCCTCCCATGATAGACAAGTTCAAAGGATACATATAGAACCCCTCTTCCGAGACCTAGTAGTTCCAGATAAACAATTTTCTGATTGTTACCCTTCTTAACTTTTATGTTGGAGTGCATTAAAGAACACTTTGAATATGGTCAGATTACATTAAATTTGGTGAGGTAGCGAATAATGCAAAACATGCTTCTTGTCTAATAATGTTTTAAGATGTTTCCTTAAAATGTTCTGCTTAGCTTCTTTTTCTCATTGATCAATCCTTTCTAACTGTAAACTCTTTTGAATTCTTGTTTGTGCTATAACTAAAGCATAGAAACTCTCTACGGTATCTATTATTGGAGCATCTCTTTTGGGTTACGTGTCCAAGTAACTAAATCTTTTCTTCTATGCGGGCCAAGAATCTAGTCTCCTATAACTACATAGTCAGAGTAGTTATTTCATTCATGCAACTATTCATGCTTGTACACAGTTGATTGGTCTTTTTTCAGTGTCTTTGTGTTCTCATTTAATAAGCAACATAGGGCCAGTATTAACTCTTTGATTTGTAGCTTTTCTGGCAACATAGTTCTGGGAGTAAGTTTATCTGATGAATCAAATGTTGTTAATCGACCCTCCCCACCATATTTTATCTCTTGTTTTCGTTTAAATTTTTAATATTACTATCCCTTGTTTTAAACTCTGTAGAAATGCGGCCATTGGTATCTTATATTGTGCCCACATCATTCATTGTTGCCTTTTTACACTGTTTGAATTGAATTTCTGATGCAGTTGATACTGAAAATGAAAGTGAAACTTTGGAACCAAACGGTGGTAAAGAGGCAATTGACTTTAAGGAAGTTAAACGTGTGGATCATATTCTTGCCTCCTTACTGCGAAAGGTAACCAATGTATTGTAAATTTTTTGCCTACACCCTCATATATTGATCTTAATTTGTACAATCGTATAGGATCCATAATACGAACCACTAACATATTCATTTGAGATTTCATTGATCTGTTTCCTAGTTGTCTTGCTTTTCAACTTGATGTTTGTGTAGAGTTTATCCTTTCAAAGTAGTCCAAAAAAATAGTCATTTGGAAACTGGCTTTGATAATCCATAAATCACAACCTTTCTTGATGAAGAAATTTACCAGTCCCTTCTGATTTTTTGAAGAAACAATCTGTGATTCCTTCTTTATTTTGAGAATAATCTATGTATATTCAAATTGTAGTTAGGGCAAGCCCCTCCACCACCCCCGTTTCCCGATGGCTTCGTACCTCCTACCACAGAGGTGGAGAAAGATCCGGAAAACCAGCAAGCAGCTGAACCTCAACCTCCTGCCCTTGATCCCATCATTGATCATGGTCCAGCTAAGAGAATGAAATTTTGAAGCCAATGTTTTTCAACCCCTTTTTAATGTAGGATTAGACTGGTTTTGTATGAGTTGAATATTGGGTTGGATATATAATTAGCTTAGGGTTTATTTATTGTTTAAATTTTGTAATTTATTTGGTTTTTTCTACTTTGATTTTCAAAATTAATAATCAACCCGATTTAATAACTTAAACTGACTAAATTAATTAAATAGACCATAAATTTCAATTAATTCGATTTTAATTAAAAACATTTAACTGATTAATTTATACACCTACAGATGAAACACTCGACTTATTTTATTTGAAAAAAAAACCCTTAGATATTTGGCCATCATAAATATATGTTGACATGACATATACCTTAATACATATTAAATGCAATTTTAAAATTTTCAGAAAAAATAAAAGTAAAATGATATGCATTCTTAAATATGTTAAAAAAGTAATTGAAAATATTGTAATTTTATAGATTTATAATTAGTTCACAAAATAATATAGCAACAATAAGCATTAATTAACAAGTGCTTTAGTGGATTAAAATAAATCATGATGTGAGTGTGATACCATCATGATTGATAAAACAACCAATCAACTAACTTAGCATTTGTGGCTAATAATAATTTAAAGATTTTTATTCAAATTACCTTAAAAAGGATTATTCAAATTTGTCCTTTTCTGTGGAAAGAATCAGGATATAGCTTCAAACCTATTCAATTCTTCAGTCAATTTTAGCCAACACGAGACACGAGTCTGATCGTGTTGGGAAAAACGAGCAGCGTGTCAACTTCCCAGCGTTTCCCGACACAGCCCGTACGTTCATGGGGTTGCCACAGCTCAGCCCTGACGTCGGCTTGGCCGAGCAAAGGCTCATGGCTCTCTGTTTGAGCAGTGGTTACGTTTTACGCCTGATAATTACAAAGGAAGTCCTGTAACTGGGTGCCACCACCACAACTGGACAATGACACCATCATACGAACCCGCCTCAAAATGTCTGACAAACTTGTGCTATCCTACGATGAGTCGACTCAGCCATGACAATGATGTTTTGCTTTTAAGATAGGAACCAAATCTTTGAAAATTAAATGGGGTGGCTTTGCCAGCTTGCTATCAAACTCTTGCTTCTTTGCCTCTCATTAAACCTTAAAAAGCTCAAACATTTCCATTCTCAGTTGTAATAAAACAATTATGTATACATCAATAAAGATATTGAGGAACCAAAAGTTTGTAGATTTTCAGGGGAAGGACATTAGATTTTCAGTGAAGGACATAAGATGCTGGAATTCTCAGTCAAGGACTTTCCCCCGTCTGACTACAAATACCATGATATTTTGCTGCACCTTAACATCCCACCATTCAACTCCTTTATAACTATAAAATTGATTTCCTCATTGATCAAGATGACTATCCTCGTTGATCAAACTGAGTTTGGTAATTCTTCATGATTTCCATTTTTATGCTATTTTATATATGAAAATAATCTGTTTTTAAGTATTTGAATTCGGGATTTTTCTGGTTTTGTATATCAGAAGATTATGTTGAGAAAGAAGTGGTGACGGATGCTGGATTTATGGTGCCACAGAGCAACGCTTTTGGCCACACTTTTAGGTTGAGTTCTCCGTTGCTTTAACTATTAAGAGCAAAGGGACATTAGCCAATGGATGTAAACAAATAAATGAACAGATTCATCAAATCAATCTAGGCTACTTTATTTCATTATCAAGGAAAAAAATGACAGAAGACCCATCTTTCTCCTTTTCACCATGTGCATATTTGTTTATGACTGATCGATCTGCACTGTATTTGCAAACTGCAGAGATTATCATGTTGAAAGTGAGAGGCATCAGGGTGTGGAGAATTTTTATCGAACCAATCATATTAACCAGACATATGACTTTGTATGTAGCCTGTGCTTCATTGTGCAATCACTCCTTTTTTCCTAATATTTGTACATATTAAGTTAATGAATTTGGATGAAAAAAAAATCACTTAATCTGCAGGTGAATCGAATGAGAAAAGAGTATGGAAGCTAGACAAGGTGGAAATGAGCATATGGGAATGCTGTGAACTTCTTAATGATGTAGTTGATGAGAGTGATCCTGACTTAGATGAGCCTCAGATCGAACACTTGCTGCAGACCGCCGAGGCTATCCGAAAGGACTATCCCGATGAGGACTGGCTGCATCTCACAGGCCTTATCCATGGTAATGTATTGCTATATCGGACAATTATTTATCGAGATCAATAGTTTGCACAATGTGTGTATTGTTAACTAATGGTATGTTTCTTTTATGGGATCTTTTAGACCTTGGAAAAGTTCTTCTTCATCCTAGCTTTGGTGGGCTTCCCCAGTGGGCTGTTGTAGGTGATACATATCCGGTCGGTTGTACTTTCGACGAATCAATTGTTCACCACAAGGTGATTCCTTTATAAACTAATAGTCGCTTCGTAAAATTTAACCATTTCTTTTAATCTGATGATCTCTATCTGGTATGTTGGGGGTACAGTATTTTGAGGAAAATCCAGACTATCACAACTCTGCTTACAACACTAAATATGGAGTGTACTCAGAGGGATGTGGACTTAACGATGTTCTGATGTCATGGGGACATGATGACTACATGTATCTGGTATCTCTCTCCCCACCTACGTATACGATATGAATTCCAACGCCTTTTTTGCGTCTTTAAACTCGACAATTGGAACTAATTCGGAATCTATGTATGCAGGTGGCTAAAGAGAACAATACGACTCTGCCATCGGCAGCTCTTTTCATTATTAGATACCATTCATTCTATGGTAAGGATGGGTCCCCTTGATGAATTCCAATTTACATAAATGAACTGACGCACTTTATTTTGCAGCCCTGCATAGGTTAGGATCATACAAGCAACTGATGAACGAAGAGGATGTCGAGAATCTGAAGTGGCTCGAAATATTCAAGTATGACTTTTGATTTATTTATATACTGGGCCGCCTTCTAGACAAATTGAACATTATGACTGCGTTTAGAAGGCGGTATCCGACACGTCTGAGATTAGAATCTTACATTTTATGCAGCAAATATGATCTTTACAGCAAGAGTAAAGTCCGGATCGATGTCGAAAAGGTCAAGCCATACTATCTCTCCCTCATAGAAAAGGTTAGCACAACTTCAGTCTTGGCTTAGTCCAGCTATATCCTGGTCATGTTCTGCTATACAATTAATGGATTTCCTTCCTTCTTTTTCTGCAGTACTTTCCTGCAAAACTAAGATGGTGAATTTCGGTTCTTTCTGATCCCACACATTCATTCCTCGCATCAAGCTCGGAGACGGTCGAGTCAACTAGTTGTTTCTTTTATATATATATATATATATAATGGTTGTAATTTCGGTTTCAGAATTTATCTGTTTCCTTGTAATAAAAGTAATGCTATCGTTTTCAACAATTGTCATCAAAGAAGCCAAGTTGCTGATGACGTTCATACAAAGACTTAATCGATTAAGAAGTGCATATAAATATGGTGGATTAGTACCAGCAAATGCAGTATATCATCGTTCATAAACTTGTAGGCAAATATGGAAGGGGACAAGACAAGCTGTGCTGTGATAAATCTTGTTATTTTCTCTCTGGTTTTATCTCCCATGATACCTTGTGCTATGCCACGTCCTCCTCTTGCTCGTGGTTCAGACCTGTATACCCTACTAGAAGATTATTGTGTTTTGATTGAATTCATACTAGTCGTCTGTTGGGTCAAGGACTGGAGTTGGTTCACATTCAACAGTCATGGTGGCACTGCACACACGCATGATGTAAATGTCAATCCTTTAATTTGACTGTAAATCTGTAATGGGGGACCAAGACCATGCAACGTAGAACTTGGTAAACATATCTTGGTCCCCAGCTACAGATTTACGGTCTAATTAAAGGATTGACGTTAACATCATGCGTGTGTGGACTGCTACCGTGACTTGTTATTGTTCTTTGAAGTCTAGGGTTCGATCATAACGTATGTAGGGATATGAACGTTTATTTTCAAAGGTTTGCAAGTCTTTAAACCTTGTATTCACCCTAGAATTATAAAAGAAAAAAAATCTAGGGTGGCTTCAGCTAGTCAAGTCTCCGTTTTCTGTATCCACCTGCTTCTTCAATATCTTTCGTTCTTCATTCAAACGTAAATGTCAATGGAATGGACTTTGGGTTATTTTCTTCCACGCTCCCTTAAGTGGGAGTGACTTGTTCTGTTTGAGTATAGTAAAATGAGAAAATTTTAGGTGTTGAACCAAAAAGAACGCCATAATACTTTCCAAAAAATGTGACAAACACGGAATCACCTATCCATACGCAATTAACGTGATGTATATGATATGATATTTAAAAGTTTAACAAAAATAGTATCTCATTTAAAAATGCAGTAAAACACATCATCATAATTAATAATTTGATTTAAAAAAAATATAGTAAAACACAACATTCGTGCACGGATCAGAACACATCAAGTGACATCAGTAGTAAAAAAAGTGTATTCTACTTAGAGATTTTAATTCAAACAATTACGTCTTCGGAGTATGTATTGTCAGTAGATTAAAATTTTGAACAAATAAAAAAAATTCATACAAGAATAATTGAATTTAAATTTAATGACTTGTTTCTTTTTGAACAAGTAATTTGGTGAGAGGGGGATGACCATATAAACGATGATAAGGCATTGGCTCTTTCGTCTTATTCATAAGAAAACGGAGAAAAGGCTCAAACCACGAAGTCATAAGAACAGACAAGCAGGGTCTTCGCTTCATAGTTTAGTAATATAAAAAAGCTCTGCTGCCTTGAACCTGTTACGTGCATAACAAGCATTGAGAATTAGATCGATGGACAGAGAGAGCCACATGGCATAAATTTTGTACATTAGTGGTATGATGCTTCATAATATGTTGCTTCTCCTTGTCTTCTTCATTACCTGTTTTGGGGATTTACTACTGGCCACCGATGTCCAGAGAAGAAATTTGGCCTCTGGAAATCCAGGTAAATCATGCCAAAGGTTCCTTTTTTTCTCTCTCTCGCTTTATTTGATGTTCATTCACAAATTCATCTCGAAGTCTGCTTTGGAATTGTTGTTTTTAATTAATACTATGTTGAATAAAAGATTATATAATATAGGGTAAACTATATCAAATACTACTGAACTTTAGATGGTGTATTGTTTATACCTATGAACTTTCAATTTCACAAATTATAACACTAAATTTTGGTTTTGATTTCAATTATGCCATTGGGCCATTAAATTTTAACGACACGATTATATAGATAAATCATTCTTTCATTGTGACGACGTGAACAAAACGACCTCATTTTGATGCGATTATTGATATCCAAATGACATTGTTTTAGGTAATAAACTTTAGGGGCCTATCGATTTTGTCATTAAACTTTTCTGATCGCCCATCATCGGTCATTTTTTGTAGTAAGATCAGTACTAAATGTTCATATTTCACTCATCTTTCTTCTCAAAGGATTTGTTTTCTACGAAACTCACTCAAAATCAAAGTAAAACTATTTAAAGGTTTGACGTGTTAAGACTTTGATCTCATTTGATGACCATTTGTTGAGGCTAGTTTTGATTATATTGTTCATCTTCTCGAAATAATATTTCTCACCGTTTGGATTTTTGAACAATCACCCCCAAATCGAAACCCCTAAAATTTAAGAAAGTCAACAAACCTCTAAACATGGTGGATTTTTTTGTTTAATTTTGTCAATTTTAAGTGGGTTTCGTGAAAAATTAATCATATGAGAATAAAGATAAGTGAAATACGGACATTTAATACCGATCTTGTGGTTAAAGTTGACCGATGACATGAGGTGATTGATTACCGACGACAACTAAAAAAGTATAATGCCAAAAAGAGAGTTGTTTAAAAGTTTAATAACAAAATCGATACTCTTAAAGTTCAGTACCTAAAACAAGTATTATTTTAAGCATCAATAACTACAACAAAATGATGTTATTTTATCCATATCATCACACCTTTTTAAATTTTAATGATCCTATGACATAAATAAAGTCAAAACCAAAATTTAGTTCTATAATAAGAGAAAATAAAAGTTTAGTGGTCTAAACAACACTATCTAAAATTTCAGTGATGTCTTATGTAAGTTACCCTAAAATATATGAGTTCCCACTTCCCAACTTCCAAGATAACAACTAAGCTGTTTAAATTTCTTTTCATGTATGTAAAAGGTTTCTTGAGCATTGATTGTGGGGTGGAGGATGACTACTGGGACAATCCAACCGGGGTCTGGTTCAAGTCAGATAAAGAATTCATCAGCACCGGTGAGAATCACGAAGTTTTACCAGAATACCAATTTGACAATGAACAATACGGGAAGCGTTACAAGACCCTGAGAAGTTTCCCGAAAGGGGTGAAGAATTGCTACACCCTGAAAGTTGAACAAGGTAAGAACAACAGCTTCCTCATCAGAGCTTCCTTCTCCTATGGAAATTACGATCTGAAGAACCAGACCCCCAAGTTCGACTTGTACCTCGGGGTTAATTACTGGGCAACCGTGAACTGCAATGACTTTAACGCCTTCTTCTACGAGGCTTTTCACGTTTTCCCCGCAGATACCGAGTATGTCTGTCTTGTGAACACCGGCAATGGAACTCCTTTAATTTCTTCATTGGAGATTCGACCTTCAAACATTTCCATCTATGGAAATGGTTCTTCATCGGAACTACAGTTTTCCAAGAGGTTCGACCTGGGTTCCATCTCTAGTCTGTCGAGCAGTGTCAGGTAAGCTGGCTTGTTTTTCATCGGAACACGTGTGTATATATAGTCACTCGTCTATTGTCGCAATTTTCATCATCCAACTTTTTTTTTCTCAAAGTTATGTTTAATATTATGATTTGGTTTAGTTTTGATATTCATGACACGTGCCCATTTTAACATCCGAATTTTTTTTTATAAGTCACCTATTTTATTGCTATTTTATTGATGGCACCTTAAAATTTAAATTTCCTTCGATTAGTTATATATTTTAGTAATGATGTCCACCTGAAATTTTATTTATATTTAACCATTCAAAAATTTTATATTATTAACATATATGTGCCCTCGCTTAAAATTATTTATGAATTCGTCACTAATCATCCGTAGTCATAAAAATAAATAAAACTATTGACCCAATTTTTATCTTTTTTCAACCATGACGTAGTAGTTTGGGGTTATTTTATGGCTGATCATTCTGCCATTGATTTTTTCTTTTACTATGAATGTTTTTTGGTCAAATCAATGAGTGTATTGTACTGAGGCCAAGTATCTCCTGCAATAGGTACAAGGATGACATTTATGATCGTAGCTGGTATCCTTACCGGCTTCCAAATTCTGTTCCAGTTAGTACCACATCGGATATCGACACTCAGGACGGCAGCAATTTGTGTAAAATACCAGTTGAGGTTCTGAGAACAGCCGTCCAGCCACCCAAGGGCTTCAATTCCCTGACCGGCTCTTTCTCTGTACCCGACCATGAATATAATGCCTACTTTCACTTTGCTGAATTAGTGGATTTTGAAGATAAGCTAAGAGAAATAAGCATAACTGCGAATGGTATCACGCAAGGACCTTTTACTCTTGAATACTTGAAGCCATCGTCCGTAAGTTTCCAGAGACTGCAGATCGTAGAGCACTTTACTTTTACCATTTCTACAGAAAAGGAGTCTGGCCTTCCTCCAATCCTCAATGCGCTTGAGCTTTACCGATTTGAACAATTTGAGCTTTCTGCTACAAACCAATCGGATGGTACCTTTTCGTTTTTGAATATATCCTTTTATTTTTCATCGTTTTCAAGAAAGTAAAATCTGCAATATGAAGTTTACTAGCATACCAAATTCCTCACATTTCTATTCTGAATGATGGTAGCTGATGCTGTCATGTCCATCAAGCATACATACAACATAAACAGAGATGACTGGCAAGGAGACCCATGTCTCCCAAAAGAGACTACGTGGACTGGTTTGAGCTGCCGTTTCGACAATCCTCCGAGGATAATCTCACTGTGAGTGCACTTCAAACCATCCCAAGAGTATCTATTGATCAAATTCGATTTGATGGTTTGTTTTAACAAATACCAAACTGTTAGATGACTGCGTTGTTTATGGTAATGGTACCACGCTCTCCTTTGTTATCGGTTGATTCCGTGCAGGAACCTGAGTTCGAGTAGATTAACAGGGGAGATATCTCCATCATTGGCTCATCTCCAGGAAATAGAGTCCATGTATGTACTGAACTTGTAGTGGCTAAGTAAACTAAGAGAAGCACCCTGAGCCGGATGAAGTTTCCCTCCACATTTTTTGACAAGGTTACTTTTTTACCCTTTTTTCCCGCAGTGACTTATCATACAATGAATTGACTGGGTCGGTACCGGAAGTTTTAGCACATCTGCCGAAATTGAAAGTACTGTAAGTTCCTTTGAGTGATATGACTCAGATGTTCTTTTACAAGCTTTGTGGTTGTAGGTGAGCAAAATTCGATTCGACTCGGCTCAAAAAATCGGTTTTTTTCAATTTCAAGTTATTCCATCAACTCGAATTATAAATTCAGTTTTCGAGTTCGAGTCGAGTTGAAATTTTAAATTTCGAGTTACTCGAAAAACCAAAAAATTAACTAAATATTTTTGATAGTTTTACGATTTAGTCTATGATTTCATTATTTCTTCAATTCCTCCTTCATTTTAAGTTTATTTTTTTACCAAATTTGAACCACATGCTCCTAAACCATAATAGAATTCATGTGTACTTTCAATTCCTTTTTTATAGTAATTTTTTTTTTATTTTTCAATTTAGTTATTTATTTTTCATAATATCATTATTTCTTCAATTCATCATTTATTTTAAGTATTTTTTATCAAATTTGAGCCACATGCTCCTAAACCATAGCAAAATACACATGTATTTTCAATTCTTCTTTTTAATAACAATTTTTTTTATTTTTAAATGTAGTCCTTCAATTTGTCATTTATTTTAAATTCATTTTTTTTAATCAAAGTTTAAACTACATGCTCATATACCACAATAGAATGCTTATATAACTTCAATTGTTATTTTTTTTTACTAAAGATGTACTCTCTTTTTTATTTAGCCCCTTAACTTTGCATTTTACTCAATTTTATCTTTTGACTACAATTATTTGTAAATTCTTTTTTTTCATCAATTTCTTGACTCATTTATACTCTCATCAATATTTTATGCTCAAAATACTTTCTTTAAAATATAATATTATGAATATATTTCATAATTTTAGATCGTATAAAGTCAAAAAATTGGAATAAATCATTGTCATAATACTATAAATAATTATAATAAAATTAGTATATAAACTCGAATTTCTTAAACTCGACTCGATTCAAAAAAGTTTCAAGTTAAATTTGAGTTGTAAAATACGACTTGTTAACTCGAATAACTTAAAATTTCTTTACTCAATTTGATCGAATGCTCACCCCTATTTGTGGTATGATATATAAACGATGCATATTTAAGCAGATTTGCTAATAATACAAATATTACACTTTTTGTATAGAAATTTATCTGGAAACAAGCTCAAGGGTCCTATTCCCCAGTCTCTCCAGAACAAATCTGATAACGGGTCACTGCTTCTAAGGTTAGGTCATTTTGCTAAACTAACGGGTCACTGCTTCTAAGGTTAGGTCATTTTGCTAAACTAGCCAAAATTTTCCAGCTCATCTTACTGTCAAGTTCCAATGAAGCTTCACACTTCAAAATCAATTCTCATGACATTATTGGATCGTTTTTCAAATTATGCATCCCGGTAATTCTGTTAGGTTGAACGGCAGTTTCATTGAAGACCAAAACTCATGCCAGATGGATCCTTGTAAAGGAAATAGCAAGAAGTTTATTGTTCCACTTGCCTTATCAATTGTAGCTGCTGTGGCCCTTGTCACCCTCATAAGTGTTCTAATCATCTTTCACAGAAGAAAACGAAGAAAAAGAACTGGTATTTTCACTCTTTCATGTCCATAACTTAATTTGCTATTAATATGATGGTTTGATTAATATTGCTTCCCCAATTGTTGTAGTTGTTAGTTCTACTGCATCAAACGAGGAAGGATTGTTGAAATCCAAGAATCGACCCTTTACTTACTCTGAGATAGCTACGATTACTGTTAATTTTAGCACCAAAATCGGAGATGGAGGATTCGGAGAAGTGTTCCTCGGTCATCTTAATGATGGCACACCGGTAGCCGTGAAGTTACTTTCTTCATCGTCAAGGCAAGGATACAAGGAATTCCAAGCAGAGGTTAGATATAAAGTTTGAAAGTGTCATTTCGTGTTAAACTTTTTACAACTGCATTCTCATTCGAATATAATGACGTGTCGATTATTTTAAACAATGCAGGTACAATCCTTGATGATTGTACATCATAAGAACCTTGTTTCTCTAATCGGCTATTGCAAGGAGAATGGCCATATGGCACTTGTTTATGAGTTCATGGCTAACGGAAACCTGAGGCAGCATTTATCTGGTATAGATGGATTATTGTATCATGTTTATTCAAATTTTGTTCTGATGATGATTTATTTGCTTGCAGAGACCAAAAAAAGTGTTTTAAACTGGACACAAAGACTTCAAATCGCGGTAGATGCTGCACAAGGTCTATGAGCTCTTTAACATACTTGAATGCTTTCGATTTGGCTCATTTTCGATCTTTCCCCATTAAAATAGCTTATGTTGCAGGGTTGGACTATCTACATAATGGCTGTAAGCCGCCCATAGTTCACAGAGATTTGAAACCTTCCAACATCTTATTGACTGAAAACATGCAAGCAAAGATAGCTGATTTCGGGCTGTCGAGAATTTTCTCTACCGAAACTGCATCTCATGTGTTAACATCTTGCCCTGCCGGCACATATGGATACCTTGACCCTGAGTAAGATCGATCTATCTATCTACCTATCTAATAATTGAAGTAAACATCTTAGTTACGAAAATCCCTGTATGCTCTCAATGCAGGTTCCATGCATCAGGAAACTTGAATAAGAAAATCGACATTTACAGCTTCGGGATAATCCTCTTTGAGCTAATCACTGGGAAGCCTGTAATAATAAAAAGCACCGAGTGCAACATACACATACTTGAATGGGCAAGACCTATGATCGAGAAGGGAGATATTCGGATGATTGTCGATCCCAGGTTGGAAAACGAATTCGACGTCAATGCTGCCTGGAAAGCTGTGGAGATAGCTATGTTGTGTGCACTTCAAGCTTCAAAGCAAAGACCAGACATCAGTCATGTATTATCAGAACTGAAGGAATGTCTTGAAAGACCTTTCGGCCAGAAAGTTGTTGGATTTGTAATTGCTTAGAAACAAATTAGTATTATGGAATGCTAGTCTCTTTATATGAAAAAGAAACTCTTGGTATGCATGTCTAAAACCTTTAAATATATAAATATATACACACATTTTAAGATATTTACATATTATATATATATAATATTTGTATTATTGTTCAAGTCTATGAGACCTGAATGAATGTGTTGTCTCTATACCCTATTTTTCTTCTGTCTTTTGCCAATAACTCCTGCACATGCAGTGTTGCTCTTAGGCTCCAATCCAGGGACGTCACTGCTGTTTGTTATTATCCCAACTACCTCTCGTCGTTTCGATATAAATACACACAAAACTTCATAAATGTAAAACCTTCTCCCATCAATTCCTTTTACGACTCAGCAGAGATTTTAATTTTGAAAAGAAAAAAAAAACATGAAAAACAAATTAGGTTAATAATATCTATCTAAAATGTAGGACATGAATGATAATAAATTCCACCTACTCTCATTTATTGGCCATTATCAAACCCCCCCCCCCCCCCAAACATCTTCCTTGGTCAGCTTATAATGCCTAACACAGAACTCAAAGCTTCCAAATACAATCAAATGATAATGAAAATGGAGGTTTATAGCAGATGCTTCATGTTCATAGTGTTTGCATTTGCATTTGTAAGCAAAGGGTATGCACAAGAATCGACCACTCTTGTTCCAGCAATCATGACATTTGGTGACTCAGTGGTGGATGTGGGGAATAATGACTATCTCCCCACCATCTTCAAGGCTAATTACCCTCCCTATGGGAGGGATTTCGCTGATCAAAAGCCTACTGGGAGGTTCTGCAATGGGAAATTGGCCACTGACATCACTGGTAAGTGCATGACGGTAGACTGATTTCTTCCCTTTATTTACGTTAAAGTAGTTCAGATAGAGTTAATAATAAGCTTGGAACTTGCAGCTGAAACTCTGGGGTTTACCAGTTATCCACCAGCATATCTAAGCCCTGAAGCATCAGGGAAGAACCTCCTTATTGGAGCCAATTTTGCTTCAGCTGGATCCGGCTATGATGACAGAGCTGCCGCGTTAAATGTCCGATTTCGATCTTATAACTTTGAATCTCAACATCAATATCTTTGCAGTTTAAGTTGCAATTTTCTTCTCTTTTTTTTAAAAAAAAAAAGAATCATCATTTTGCCATGTTGTTTGCAGCATGCTATCACATTGACCCAACAGGTAGAGTATTTCAAGGAGTATCAGGGAAAGTTAGCGAAGGTAGCTGGCAGTAGCAAATCAGCATCCATCATCAAGGATGCACTCTATGTACTGAGTGCTGGAAGCGGTGACTTTCTCCAGAACTACTATGTCAACCCTTTACTTAACCATGCCTATACGCCAGACCAGTATGGCTCCTTCCTTATCGACGCCTTCACAACTTTCGTCAAGGTAAGTAATTTGTTTCCTTCGTTGCTCTGATTCAGGATAGCGAGCGTTGGATACAAGTTCGTAGTTTGCTTACTTTGGGATGATTTGGTTGATAAACAGAACACCTATGGCTTGGGAGCCAGGAAAATTGGAGTTACTTCTCTTCCTCCCTTAGGTTGCATTCCCTTAGCGAGAACGTTGTTCGGTAACCATGAGAATGGATGTGTGACCAGGTTCAATACCGATGCTCAGCAATTCAACAAAAAGCTCAACGCAGCCGCAGCCAATCTCCAGAAGCAGTATCCTGATCTCAGAATTGTGGTTTTCGACATTTTCAAGGCACTATTGGATATTGTTAAATCCCCCTCAAACTACGGTAAGGAAAGAGATTTTTCTCCATATCTTAGTCTAGTGCAGAAAAAAATCTCTTTTAATGGTGGACAGAATTGATATTATGTAATCACTGAAAATGACTTTGGCAGGTTTCGTGGAAGCAGCGAGAGGCTGCTGTGGAACAGGGACCGTAGAGACGACTGAATTCCTGTGCAATCCGCATACACTGGGAACTTGTTCGAATGCCTCCCAGTATGTGTTTTGGGACAGTGTTCATCCATCTCAGGCTGCTAATCAGGTCCTTGCTGATGCATTGATTGCTCAGGGCGTTGCCCTCCTTTGATGCATTACTATGTCTATTTGCCCTGTACTAGGCCTACCACTACTCTTTACTATTACCTTAATCAACAAGTGACTCATACTGCAGTAGCTTGTATTTGCAGTTAAAGTTTCTTTTCTCCTCAATTTATACTACTTTTTTTTATTTTCTATTCCTAAATGTTGTATCTTAGGACCAAGAAAATTGAACAAAGAAAAAGTTGTAGAAGGATAGGAGGAAAAGGCAATCAATAGAAACCTCCGAATATTCTTCAGATATGAGAAACAAGAAAACTGTTCTTTCTCCCTTCTAATTTTTTATACAGAGCTAGATTATGTCAATTCTAAGCGTAAACACTAAGCAAGTGATTGATAAAACTGAAAATCTCCCTAATAAAAGTGTAAGCATGTTAGAAACGTATAATGGCACTGTCTAATATCCCAAGAAACAGGCAGATTTGAGGTTGTCGAAAGTAATAGCATCGGTACTGGTAATGGTACTGGTCCTAGCATTTTCCTCCTTTAGCACTTGGACTGGCTTGTCCTCCACTGCCAAAGAATTTGGAGAATTAAGTAGCTTCATTACATCAGAATTCATCTCCGGCGGCTGTCCTGATACCTTCGTGCCATGTTTAGGCTGAGAAATAGAGAATTTATTAGAAAGCACAGTACTAAAACCAAACAAAAACATTCTCCTAAAATAGAAGTTTGCTGGGAATTTAGGTTTTAGGTTGCAAACCTTAAGATTCCCCACAAATGGGCGACTTATGTTTGAGTTTCCAGGGGATGTTGCTGCAGTAACATATTGGATAACTGCAGTGGGTTCCCTCTTTCTGAAACCTACTTTCTTATTCCCAGAATTGATAAGATCCGGGTCTAGGATCCGAACATTGGAGTTATATGTCACAGTCTATAGCATAAGGGATTAAGTAGTCAGGTAGAATCCATGCTTAATCTTGTTACAAACGCACAATCTAATCAGTCACACAAGCAAAAAATTAGAGAGAATTGCTTTGAGATTCCATTAGAAAATATCTAGAGTATACAAATTTAAAATCTATGCATTTAAAGAGGTAGTTCATACATGCTGCCTGTACATGCAATCTCTTCTGACCCCAACAATGTTCGGGCTCATGTGTCTCATTTGATCCTGTTAAGTCATGAAAAATACACGAATAATAGTCGGAATGGAGCTGTAGAGAACAAAAATATATATAGTTTCCTAGGAAAACTAGACATGCTTACATATGAGAAATTTGCCGTCCATCTGTTGTTGTGAAAGGATACTGAATACCGACGTTTGCAACAAAAGGATGCTGATATAAGGATGGCCGGAACAGGTGTGGGGAAACAGTAGGGGATGGGGGGAAATTGAAGTAAATTGGATGGAACTGAGGGGTAGTGCCATTGCAACTTGATTGATACGAGGATTGTACTGGGGTGTTTTGCACATAGTAGTTCTGCAATTCCTTAATGCTGTCTTCCTTACGTTGAGCTACTGCTACATATAGAAGCTTCCCCTCGAATAAAGCCCCTAAGATATTTCAACATTCGAATTAGCAACCATACACTGTTACTCAAAAGTCTACAAAAGAAATCAAAGCTCAAATCGTTAGGACAGATGTGAAAGGGAAGAGAGAACTTTGTCTCACCATTAAGTCCATGTAAAGCTGCCATTGCTTCTTCCGGAGAGGAAAAGCACACAAAGCCAAATCCCTTACTCGTCCCATTCTCAAGGCGCATCACCCTAGCTGAGATGATTCGTCCAAAGTGACCGAAAAGTTCTTGTAATCTTTTGTCATCCATGGTTAGTTTGAGGTTCTTCACATAGAGATTCGAAGCCTTCGATTTCTCGAAACGGCAGTCAAACACATCCTTGTACTTATTTTTCAATAGCTTTGTTCTTTCAGTCTTCTTTTGAGCCCTTCCCACAAACAAATTCTTTGAACCTGATAAAAAAAATCAATTTCATTCATGTAAATGAAAACTATTTTAGATGAACAACTAAGTTTTAGAAAGGGGAAAACATAAAAAAAAATGATCAATTTTACCAAGTTGTACATCATTCATCGCCTCCATAGCCTTCTTAGCATCAAGAGGGGATTGAAAGTTGACAAACCCAAAACCTCTTGAGACCCCCTTATCATCCTTCATGATTACTAGACTGCTTATCTTCCCATATTTAGAAAACATTTCTTTTAGACTATCCTCAGTCATGTCATCAAACAGATTCTTCACATAGAGGTTAGTAAACTTCTCTTCTTCAGCAGGTGTCCTCTCACACTTCCTGACGAATTTTGACACATATCTGCCATGGAAGTGCAACAACCAAATCAAGCAAAGCAAATAGGATAGTCACAGAAGTATAGCCATTCATCTAATGAGCATAAATTAGACAAAAAGGAATATACGTACAACTTCTTTCCTTTAAGCATAGTGTCATGGAGAGCAGTAATGGCAGCCACTGCTGATTCCTCTGAAGCAAACTGTACAAATCCAAATCCTTTACTCCGGCCATTTTCTTCCGCAATTTTACATGAAAGAATGTTGCCAAAACGGCTGAAGATTCCCTCCAAGCAAGTGGTGGTTACTGAAGGGTCCAGGTTCTTTACAAAAAGATTGGCGAGGCCAACCTTTCTTGGAAAAGGATCTCTCTGAGACCACGTTATCCTCATTGGTTTTCCCTTCAGGTCAGTGTGGTTTAACCGACAGAAAGCTGTAGATGCTGATAAAAAAACGGAAGATAAAAATTTATAATTACTCAAGACCTGACACATATGATTCATCAAATACCCATCCACATAAAAGGGCAAAAAATCACCGAAAAGTGGAAGATCGCAAGAAAAATAATACATGAACGATAGATAAGAAATGTGAAAAATAAAGAAGGGGAAGCAGGGCAAGAAGCCAAGAACTAACCAGAATAATGAACAATGAAGATATCATGCTTAGTTGAACAGGTTCACAGAAAACGATATGAAACGGAAGAAGAAATTCAAGCGAAATCGGTTCTTTTTTAACCTAATTCTTGACACGAAACAGAATGAAGAAAAAGAAAAACTCCAAGAAATTCGATAAACAGAGCTTTGGGAAAAAAAGAAGGCAAGAAAAAGGACAAAAAATACCATGATGGTTGGAGTAAAAGTTGACGTGAGCGTAACAAAGAGACTCTCCGGTTTGGATGCAACGGCAGACGCGAATAGAAACGACGCGAGCAACGGCAGAGAATTTGTCATAGAGATCACCCTCGGTAACATTCGGGTCCAAATCACCCACGTACAATGAAGTTCGTTGCAGAGGATTCCACCCTCCTACAGAAACGGTCGACGCCGGTTGTGGCCGTGGCGGTGGAAGAGACCGAAATGACGACGAAGACGGCGGTCGCGATGAAGCCATTTCCCTTGAATCGCTTGCTTAAACCCGCGAGAGAGAGAGAGTCTTTTGGTTATAGGATTCGTTATAACGGTGCGTGGTGTGGATCTTGTAGTATGCCATGGTCAAATATATATTAGTATTTGGAATATTCGTTTGTACGTACGGCCCCTCACGTGATTCAAGGTTTCTTCGCTTTCTCTGACGACACGTGTTAAATCTTGATGCGCAGACTCGGCTAGTTTTAGGCTTAAATTTTAACGTTCTTTTAGTAATGCCTATTACCTTATCCATCTAAAGCCCATAACAATTTTATGAGTAAATTTTTTTATTATTTAATTCTAAAAAGCTTTAATTATGTTACTAATTTTTTTATATTTTTTATTAATTAATATTTTTAATCATTAATAATTTGATGGCATGATTTTTTTTATTTTACCGTAAAAATCATCAATTCTTTTGATTGTTGCATTGGTCAATCAAGGTCTATCATCGATTGACATTTTATTGCTCTTTCTTATTCTTATATTGTTTTAAATATACATATATAATCGATAAAATTTTAAATAGTAATATGATATTCTAATTCTTTGATCTCTTGTAAGAACTAAGAAGTTAGTTTCGACATTCTAAAATTATATCGTCAATAATAAACTTCATATATTTTCGCTTTAAATTTGCATATTATTTTTGCCTGAGGAATGGTATTCTCTGATTATCCTAAATCAATATTACCTCTTCCTTTGTCTTCTAAATCAACTTAATGGCAATTAATTTCCATCACTAAACTTTGATCAACACAAGAAGATCCTACATTTACGCTTATAAAGTACTTCAAAAAGAGTCATCTGGACATTTGACCAAAATTTTTTTATTATATGGAAACTCTATCTTCTACTCTCCTATAATGCATCCACACAATTTCTTGAAATTTTAAATTATTATATATTTTAATTTTTTAATGTATTTTTTTTACTAAAAATCTATTTTCACTCCATAAAATTTTAAATTCGTCCTTTTAAGTTCAAATTCATTCCCCCAATATAAAATATTATGTTTATTCTTGCATCTACCACACGTGTTTTCTAAAAGAGAAAATAACCTCAGTGACCGAAAATGCCTTATAATATACGATTTTAACCAACTTTTTTTGGATTTGCCAAAATGACCAACAAAATCGCAACGCGAACTCTAATTTTTCAACTTAGTTTTCAAATTCGCAACGCGATTTTGAAAAATGTGTTGCGATAGTTAAAATGTGTTGCGAGAGTTTGAAAAACGTGTTGTTGCGATAGTGAAAAATCCAAAATAAGTTTACATTTTAACTATTCTAAATTCACGTGGAGTTTGAAACAATAAAGAATGTGTTGCGATAGTGTATAAGATTCCCAAGCCATTTGTAAGATCTTAGTTTGAAACAATAAAGAATGTGTTGCGATAGTGTAAAAGATTCCCAAGTGTTGGCAATGCTCAATCCCAAATAGTATTGGAAATACTATTGAGAATGAGTATTTAAGGCTTGAATTTCCCACTTCCTTGTTGAGTGGAAGAGAACAAGGGAGACTCTCGCGCACTGCCGCCACCGTCGCCGTCCCGTCCCGTCTCGGGTCGTGGTCGTGATAATACGTGTCTTCGACACGTCCACGCGGATACTATCTTTTTAGAGAAAATTCTTAAGAAACAAATGCAATACCACAAGTCGTTGCGATTTTAAAAAATCGCAACGCGAACTTCGACTATCGCAACGTGAACTTGGACTATCGCAACGAATTTGGAAAATCACAACGCGAACTTCGAACGT